ATCCTCCCACGGCTCAGTTCATGGTCCAGAGAGGCATGCCAGGGAGCACCCCTGCTCTGCCCAGCAACCTGCTCCCACAAACCCCAGTCCTGGTGTGCTGTTTGACTCCCCTACCCACACAGACGCTCCTGGGGAAGAAGCCTGGCTCATCTCCTTACCTAATCACCTGCCAAACCCTGTCAGGCGTATTCTTTTTTTTTTTCTCTTTCTTTTAAATTTATTGCGGTGACATTGGTTAATAAAATTCTATGGGTCTCAATGCACAATCAATTCTATGTTACATCGTCTGTATATTGTATGTGTGATTAGTAACCAAAGTCGCCCAAAGTCATCATCTCCTGCTGTCACCACATATTTGACCCTCTTAACCCTTTACTACATCCCTTATTAACTCCTGCCCTACTGTCATCTCCTGTGGAACTACAAAAAGGCATTTTGCCAGCCTAGGTGGCCTCCCCCTGGGCTCCACTGTGGTCCCACTCCAGGAAACAGAAGGTCCTTCCTAGGGGGAGGTAGCCCCAGGCCTCTCTTACTCCCTGAGTCTAGGGAGAGAGGAGATTGCAGAGAGGCCAGAAAGAGTGCCAGGCGGCCTGAGCACTCTAATTTCTTTCCTTCCTACATTAAAAACACCATGTCCTGACACTGTGGTCCAAGAAATATTAAACCTGATCAACTCATATCCGCACCGTTTCCTTGACTGTAGGGATAGAACGAGGCTTGGCAGAGTGAATGGAACCTTGATTTCCTCCTAGAAAGTGAAAGACCCTACATGATTTCCAATGGTTAACATCATGTAAGAGTCCTCATTTTTATTTAACACCCTTTAGACTGAATGGTAAGAGCAGGACTTTGGCTTGTATAGCTTTGCATTCTTCAGGGCATCGGCAAGGGGCCTGGCGTATTGCAGGCACTCTGTATAAGTGGCCGTTGAGCACATACACAGGTATTATGATTTAGGGGGTTTGTGGAAAAATAGGATCACGCAGGAGTAAGTGTTTGGAGAAGGCTACTTGTGAGGTCGTGCTGTGGGGGTGTCTTGAGGACACACTATTTCAGAAGAAGTAGCTTTCAGAAGCACAAGAAAGGCTTTTCTTTTTTAACGTGTGACCCAGATGGCAATACCAACTAATAATTATTATGATAATACATTTTTTGAAAAAAGAGCCCAGGCTTGACCATGTCTGGCTTTAAATTATAAATTGGCTCATTATCAGTAAAAAAACTTTTTTGCAGCACAGCCATGATCCATGGTCCAACATCAGCCTGTTGGAAAAATCAGGCAGTCATTTGTACATGTGGTATTTGGTGCACAGCTTCTCATTGGGGATAATTTTGTTCCAAGATGAGCATCAGGGACAGGAAATCAGACTTTGGTCAGATCATCTGGAAAACAGGGCTAATTGGGATGCCTCCCTTGGAGGTTTGCTTCATTACGGTTTAGTTGAGAGGTTGAATCAAAGACTCCTCAGCACTGTGCTCAGCCTTATTATTAAAATACAAAACCTCAAACTGCTCAGGCTGTTTTAGTTGGTTTTCAAGCCTCTCTGTCTTTCTGTTACATGAAGGCTTTCCTAGGAATTTGCCTAGATCCAGCGTACAGCCTCTTGACTTCCTTCTTCAGAAGCATTTGAACTATTATTTAGCATAGAATATAATGAGGCTTAGATACTTCCAGGTCCCAAGCGATGAGAGAAGGCGCTGGAAAACCAGGCGGAGCCGAGCTTGCTACCACAGTCGGCCTGGTGGAGAGAACACAGGCCTTAGTGCCAGGTGGCTCTGAAGTGGAACTGGAAGCCTAAACATGCTAGGTGTGTGACCTTAGACACCTTATTTAGTGTGATTGAACCTCAGTTTCCTTGTCAAGAATGGAAATAATTCCTGCTTTATAATGTGGCTTTAAGAATTAGAATCCCTGGCCTGGCCAGCGTGGCTCAGAGGTTGAGCGTCGACCTATAAACCAGGAGGCCATGGTTCGATTTCTGGTCAGGGTATATGCCTGGGTTGCGGGCTTGATCCCGAGTAAAGGGCGTGCAGGAGGCAGCCGGTTGATGATTCTCTTTCATCATGGATGTTTCTTCTCTCTCTCCCTCTCCCTTTCTCTCTGAAATAAATAAGTATATAAATATATATATTAAAAAAAGAAAAAAAAGAATTAGAAATCCTGTTTGTGTGGTTGTTGAAGCATGGCAGATACTTAATAAAGACTAACAATTATTGCCATCTTTCCCCAAATGCCAGGGGTAGGCAGCTTGGTGGGGAGAGTGGAGATTTGGGAATTCTTTCCTTCAGGGTGTCCTGAGCTGGGAACATGGAAAATAAGGATTTCTAGTTATAAACATGATGGAAATATCCATAGACAGCTGTGAACTCCTCATTTCCCTTGAGCTTAGCCAGCATCACCTGTAAAAGAAATATGCCTAACATGTTTAAAGCTACAAAGAAAGCAGGCTAAAGTGAAAGCCAGATGAATGGGACTGAAAAAACATAGCACTCATTGCTTTCAAGGAGGGTACAGACCACCCTACCTCACAAACCAGGAATTGAGGGTCATTGAGATAATATGGAGTAGTTGTTAAGAGCTCAGACCAAGCCAGACTCCCTGACACACTCTGAATGTGCTCAGCTCCTTACCTGAAAATGAGTATTGTCAGTCAGGAGAGACTAAGTTGTGCTGCGGTAACAAACAACTCCAGAAACCTCAATGATAGGCATTGACAAATGTTTCTTGTTCACCATGCATGCCCTTCACCAGTCGGCTGTGGCTTTGCTCCATGTCGTCTTTACCCTCAGACCCAGGCTGCCAGAGCAGCACCAAGCAGGCATACTGCCAGGCATCACGGCACAGTGAGGAGAGAACACAGCAGAGCACACACTCACTTTTAAAGCTTCTTCCCATAAATGACATGTGATACATCTGCCCTTATTTTATGGGCAAAAGAAAATCATATGGTCACTCCTTGGTCCAACAGGGTGGGGATGTTTAAGTCTGCTACAGGCAGGAGCACTGCAGGGAGGGAAACCAAAATATTTGGTGACTAGTAATCTCATTTACCACAGACAAAGCTAATGACAATAAAAGTCCCCATGCATAGGTTGCCCTGACAACTAGATGAGTTAATTTTATACAAAATGCACTCACAAGAGTGAGTGATACACATTAAGTGTACGTGTTTCCTGTTAATATCACTGCTGCACATCGCACAGTGTCAGTGATAGAGCTGAAAGAGATCCCAGGTGGTGTAATTGAGAGGAAAAAATTTGTGTGTACTGAGAACTACGGATCCACAGATAACCAAGGACCAAAACCCGTGTAAAAATCCATGTAAAGCAGGTTTTTGTTGTTTTGTTAAACAACATATTTATTTTCTCACAGCTCTGGAGGCTGGAAGTTCAAGATCAGGGTTGGTTTCTGGTGAGGCCTCTCCCTGGCTGCTCCTCTGTGCATGCACTCTGGGTGTCTCTTACTCATAGGACCCAGTCCTGTTGTATTAGGGAAGCAGGTTTTAAAGAGATGGGGGAGTAGGAGCTGAAGCAGAAGGGATAGAGGAAAAGATGAAGAAGGAGAAAGAAAGAAGCAAGAAAAAGAAGGAGAGACACAGAGGAGAGAGTCCCACCCTGTGAAAGCCCAAGGAGAGAAAGCTTCAGGGAGACTCAGCAACCGAAGGGCTGGGTTACAGGGCACTGACTGCCTCTGTCCAACCCCTCCTTTTCTTTGGACTAAAGTCATCCTGGTCCGTTTGTTATGCTTTCATGAGAAGACTGAGTTCCTTTAGCTGCTAGTGACTCTGCACTCCTTTAATTATCCTCATCCACCCTGAGTCAGTGCCTGATGGGATGGAAGGAACACACGGAAGAAAATAAATTTCCCTTGGGCTCCAGCCTCAGGGGACCCAGCAATTTCTGCTCAGAGGTACCCAGTGCTGGGCGGAAATGAAGGCAAAAGGGAGGCTCCAGAGAGAGCTGGATCACTTTAGCCCGAGGCTCCCACGGGTGCACAGGGTGAAGGGGCAGAGGGTGGGGATGCTGGCTGAATCTTACCCTAGCAACTGTGTACATCTATTAACTTGTTAGAGTCACAACAACTTCGGGCTGGTTTATGGTCACCTCCCTTTTGTATATGGAGAAGCTAATTTGCCAGGGCTCATGGTTTGAGTATGCCGCTGAGCTGGGATTTGACTCCAGGCAGTTTGCTCCAAAGTCCATGCTCTTGATGACTATAATCTAACACCTGCCTTTCTCATGCCTGCTTGGGGCTCTGCTTTAATTTTTTTGTGGCCTAATAAGGTATGTGAGCCTTGGTTTGGGGCTCTGGACATATAAAACCTAGAACTTAGTTTGAGGGGCTCATCCCACCTCCCAATAGTAAGGATTCTTTGCTTATAACACATTTATCGTATTTAGAAAATGCTGTCAATTGTTATTATTCCATTGGCTCCATTCTACATTAATTTGTCTCCAGAAACATAACCAGCACAGACCGTAAAAGCTTCTTTCTATCCTAGCAGGGGAGTGTTGGTCGGTCTCAATAAAAGGTGCCCTTTTGGAAGGTGGCTTCTTGAGCCTTTGGACCCAGAATCTTCTCTCTGGTCCTCTCAAGCATCATTTTCACACCGATTGCCTGTTCAGGGCTCCCACCAGCAACTTGCCTCCCCTTGACAACCATTAGCTGTCGCAGCCTGATTTTATTGCTGAGTCAGGCAATCCGTTTTAATTGCCCATTTCTACCCCTAGCGGTGTCTCTTCCTTGTGGGAGGGAAGAAACCTCTCTCTTAGGGCTTGGTGCCTGCCCATCCCTTGGATCAGATGCCCAGGGTGGCAGTGCAGGCCACTCAGAGAATCTCCTGCAACTTCTCAGCCCTCAGCTTCCCCATCCTCCTGTGCTGTCCTGGAGGAAGATGAGGGTTTGTTTGGGTGCTGAGCCTCTCCTAGCCTGTCCGCAGCTCAGCTCCACTTGCTTGTTTTCTGATAGCTGTGCCCATATCCTCCTTTTGTCCCTGCAGATTCATTGCCACTCTTTGCCACACTGCTACCTGCCCTGAGGTGGGCTTGTTTGGACCCCATCAGAGGGCTCTTTCTGGCTTCCAGCTGGGTCCAGCAGGTGAGATGCCTGGGCAGGAGGCCTGGGGAGGTCAGGACATTTATCCCCAATGTGCCCTCCCTGTGGATCTCCTCGGGTTCTCTGGTGGCAGGTCAGAGCTCCTCTCATGGAGCCCCTTTTCTCAGGCTTTGTTCTCAGTCCTCAGCTCTCCCTCCCTTGACCCTTGCAATTGATTGGATTATTGGCCTCCATTCTTTGCCCCTCTGGGTGCTCTTTGCCAGGATATGACTTTGTAAGTTGCTCCCATAAAAGGAGGAGTGTATTTCCCCCCGCCCTTGGGCTTGGCTTTATGACTTGCTTTGGTCCACGGAATGTGGGTGAAACCAATTGTTTACTCCAGTTTCAAGCCCAGGTCTTTGGACCCGTTGTGTGTTTCTGTGTGCCTTTTTGTGCATCTGCCATCTCCATGAGGAGAGCTTTCCTTGGGCACTGCTGCCTCTCCAGCCCGGGCCCCAGGATGAACCCATCTGGAAGAGACCAGAGCTCCATCTGCAGTGAGGAACCAAGCCCAGCTGGACACCAGCTTGAAGCAGAGCCCACGCTGAGCCAGATGAGCTCTAGTCAACCCACATGCCTGTGAGAAATCCATGCTCACTGCTGCATTCCACCAAGACTGTGTGATAAAGGGTGGGGCACCGGAGTCACTGCAGTATTTCTGTGCTCTCCTTACTCCCAGCTCTTACACATAGGTATTCCCTCCATTAAACTCTTGGGGAATCATCCCAATTTGCGTGTCGTCTGTTTCCTGTGGTGACACCGAATGAATGATACAGGCACAGGGCCCAGTTCCACCCCAACACTCTATCACATTTGCCAGCAAAGTTCAAAATATGACATTCAATACCAGCTGTCCCTCTTCGTTGTTTTCCCATTTGCTACTCCATATTCAACTGAAACCCTAATCTCAGAAGCCAGTAATGACATCTGATTTTACTCTTTGTATGTGCTCATTTGTTTTGAATTTTTCAACTTTTTATTTGGAAAAAATTTTCAAACATATATACAAGTAGAGATATTATGATAAACATCATTGTACCCATGGCTCAGGTTTAACAATGATCAACATTTGTCAATCTTATTTCATCTATATCTTTTCTGGGGTTTTTTCCTCTTCTAAATTTAATGACCTTTCTTTTAAAAAAATGTTTATAGATTTTTTTAGAGAGAGAGAGAGAAAAATCGATGAGAGACAACCATTATGGATCGATTGGCTGCCTCCTGCACGCCTCCTACTGGGGATCCAGCTTGCAATCTGGACATGTGCTCTGACTGGGAATCAAACCATGACCTCCTGGTTCATGGGTCAATGCTTAACCACTGAGCCACGCCTGCTGGGCTAAATTTAATGACCTTTCAATGCCAGGGGGAATCCAGAGGCCCCAGCTTAGCTCTGATCTGTGATCTCCTTGCCATGTTTGCTACTATTGCTCAACCTTTCTTCACCACCCTAGCTGTCTCCTGGGTCTCCTTTTATCTCCACTGCTCTCTGTTGCCTGTTCTCAATTTCTGATCTGGCGCTTAAATGGCAGTGCTCCTGAGGGCCTTGTCCTTCACCTGTGTTCCTTCTCTCTATGCTCTCTTCCTGGGCAGTTTCAGCGACTGGCTTAATCTGTGAGCCTACTCCACGTTCCTGTCTGCCCACTGAGTAGCTTCACTTGGATGTTGCATGGACTTCACATTGAGCACATCTGGCCTAAACCAAACACAGTGACTTCTCCTTGGACCTTCTCCTTCTCCACCTCTTCTTCTGGGTTTCCATTCTCAGTTCAGACCTTCCACAATGCCCAGTCCCATACCTACAGATCTTATACCTCTTTGACCCAGACGTGACTATTTCACTTCTAAATGGTCTTCCCGATTCTTCGAGTTTCCACGTCCACCTCCTTGGTTCAGGCCCTCATCATCTCTTGCTTGGGACATTCTACACCCGCTCTGACTAGTCCCCCAGTGCTGTTCCTCTCCTAAGTGCTGGTACCATTTTTCTAAATCACATGCTTCATCCTGCTAACCCAAGCCCAACTTACCGATCTTCTATGGCTCTATTCAAAATATATTCTAAACATGATTGACATGACATTGAACCTCATTACCACCTTTTCTTCTAATCTTGCTTCCTGTACCCTGTGCTCCAAATATATGGCCCTGCTTGTTTCCCCCCTAAGACGCCAATTGCTTTCATGTGGCCTTTGCTCAGGCTGGTCACTGTTATTATATTATTTTATTTTTTTAAGATTAAAGAAAAATGAGGTTCTGGTTCCCAAACACTAACTTCAAAGTGCTCCTTCCACAGCTCTGGAATCAATCCCCTTTTTGCCCTTTTAAGATTCTTGCTGGCATTTAAATTTGTTGTTCCTGCCAAAGGAAATAAACATGGTATTTAATTTTTTGAGCAGTCCCATTAGAGTTTTTCTTTTCAAAAGGGGCCCGTTTGCTATCGCAGTGGGTAGTGTCTCCATAGAAATGCTGGCAGGGTAAAGTTTCTGAGTCTTCTGTAGGCCTTTGAGTGCCCCCAAGGCTGGAATGGTGTGCTACTCATCTTTTGATATATCCCCAGCGCCTGGCATGTAGGAAATATTCAGAAAGTGTTTGTTCAGATAGCATCTAAATTAGCATTGGGACCAGGAAGTAAGATCGGGAGAGGGCACAAATGTTGCCAGCCAATTGCAGAGAAAGCTGCCAAACATATAATCTATGAGCCGAGAGGCTGGGGTCACCCCATTCCCTGCAGCGAGGGCCTCCAAACCTGTCAGATGTCGGTTGCATTTGCAAAGCTAGGAGTTCAGGTGGAAGGTTGGATTTTTCTTCATTAAACTTGTCATTCCCCAAGGTGGGGCTCTGACAGGAACCCAGTGAGATGTCAAGCTGAGACAGCTGTTGCCAAACCTGGAGGAGGCATCCAGACAGCCGGAGATACAGCTGCTGCCTCAGACTTCACGGGCAACATCCTTCTCTTCTCGAAGGAGGTCACAGTGCTTAACAAACAAATGGCAACTGTGAAGCGGTCGTGGTACGAAGACAGAGAGAGAATTGGATCTGAGACAGAGCACATGGATGTGAGTCTCAGTTCTGGTTCTTAGTAGCTGAGTGACTCTGAGCAGGCTGTGCCACCCCTCTGGGCCTCATTTTCCTCACTCATAATACAGGTTGCTGTGGACACTGAATGAGATCATGTATATGGAAATGTTTTAGAAACTGTTCAAATGTTAGGTAAAGTTAGAATGCATTAAAATTATGTTTAGTTTTCAACACACACACACACACTCACGCACGCACATTAAGTGTAGAATGGTCAAGTCAACACATGTTCGCTCACTGTCCATCATATGCCCAGCTCTCTGCCCTCAACTGTGATAGACGCAGCAGTTTATAATGCCAGTTTCCTGACTAAGAAATTGACGATCTAGTTGGGAGATGGGACTAATTTTGTTGTTCACTCCCCATGTTTCTATAGAAGGGAAGACATTTCTACTCCACAACCAACGTGGAATATTTCTATTTCTTTTCTCATTCTTTTTTAAAAATAGTTATAGCGCCAAAACCAGTTTGGCTCAGTGGATAGAGCGTCGGCCTGCGGACTAAAGGGTCCCGGGTTCGATTCCGGTCAGGGGCATGTACCTTGGTTGCGGGCATATCCCCAGTGGGAGATGTGCAGGAGGCAGCTGATCAATGTTTCTCTCTCATCGATGTTTCTAACTATCTCTCTCCCTTCCTCTCTGTAAAAAATCAATAAAATATATTTTAAAAAAATAGTTATAGCAATTTTTATCCATTTCTTTTTAAAATTTTTTTCTTTATTGATTAAGGTATTACATATGTGTCCTTAACGCCCCATAGCTTCCCCACCCCAGTCATGCCCTCACCCCCCCCCACCCCCCTGTTTTCTCATTCTTCTTAAGAGAGGAGGGGTAATTTAGACTATTGGTGAGCTTGGGCAAAGGGGCTAAGGATGGTGGCTCAGCACCTTTTCCCTTCTCTCTTCCTGAATTAGTAGATCGTTGGGAATGTTTGCTTTCTCTACTCTTTGTCACAAAGTAAGCCTTTGGGTGGCATGGGGGTCCCGGGAGAGCAGTGGTTGGCCAGCTCTATCAGAGGCTGTGTGGGCAGGTTAAGTTCTGGGGGAGAGTATTAAGGCTTCGTTCTTTAATCTGTCAACATCTAAATGTCCTCCCTTTTTTGGGGAAGCACCTGCTACTTACTCCAAGGGCTTGGACTTGCCTCAGGATCCAACGACCTCTCTAAGTTTAGGTTATTTAAATTAGACCAGTGCCTTGGGAATTCTGAAGTCTCCCCAGCTGGGCTTCCCCCTCCACATTCTACAGAACAGTTCTGAATGTACTCTGATAAGGAGTTTCTTCATCTTTGGCTTTGAACTCCATTAACTGTGTTTTGTTTATCCTACTTGGGATTTGTTGACATTCTTAAATCTGTGGCTTAATATTTTTCACTAAATTTGGGAACTTTTTAGGCCATTATTTATTTATTTTTAGATGTAAACACTTTTATTTGGATTTTTGAAAGCAAAAGAAGGGTAGGTTAACACCTATCTTTCCAAGTTAAGACCTAAAACTGTTTCCAAAACTTCAAACTAGAAACTCCTGCTCTAAGTATAAGGATAATCTGTATCACCTTTAACCAGCAATAAAAAAGTAAAATATAAATTTTTACTTTTAAATTTACTTTATAAATTTTCAAACACACTATGAAACCTCAAGAAATACACTGCTAATTTGGAGTGAGCATTTACTTGCACAATCACAACACGCAGACAGACCCAGAAGAGGGGAGCAGGCCTGGCATTTGCACCCCAGTGCAGCAGTGGGTCACACCACCCGCACAAAGAGAGGCACACAAAGGGGCTTTGACCTGTGATGACCTGTCAGTGGTGGCCAAGGTGTGGGGTACAGCAGCACAGCTGCTCCTCACCTCATCAGAAGACGCTCTCTCCAACGTGTGGGCCATGAAGCAAGCGTCAGGTCTCTTGGGGACAAGGGCATGTCCCCTCTCACAGTCTCAGAGCCCATAAAGCTGAAGGTATGGAACAGAGCGGCTGTCATCACAGTTCTTGTAGAAGCAAATGAAGACATGGTCAGCATGCCACTGCTCCTCCGAAAACTCGAGAAGAACTGCGAAGCTGCCTTTGCTCCCCGGGCAGAGCGCTGCCTGGGACCTCAATGTAGAGGCAGCTGCAGCCCAGCACCGCTCTCCGGTGAACGTCTTTGTCATCTGAGTCTGGTCTGGACGTTGAGAATTCGAGTCTGGTTACTAGACGTTAGTTCCTCTGTTATATCCAGCCTATTACCAGAGTAAAATAAATTAGCTGAAAAATCCTGATCCCTCTAACCCAGTGGTTCTCAACCTTGGCTGCACATTAGAATCACCTGGGAATCTTTTTAAAATCCTGATTTCTGGGCCTCATCCTCTGGAAATTCTGTTTCTTTGTTACTAATGTTGTGGCCCCGCCCCATAACAAATAAACAGAATTTCCGGAGGATGAGGCCCAGAAATCAGGATTTTAAAAAGATTCCCAGGTGATTCTAATGTGCAGCCAAGGTTGAGAACCACTGCTCTAACTGTTCCCTCAGCCACCTGGGATCTTCATGGGTGGGTGAGGGACATCAGGAGAACCACGGAGGCCCTGCCCTGGACACAGGTCACTGCAGCAGGGAAGGGAGACCTGCCAACCTGGTGAGAGGGGTCACCTCAGGAGA